TCCGTCTCAAAAAAAAAAAAAAAATCCTTGCCTCCTCTGGGAAGTAGTTAAAATGCAGATTCCAATTTAGTAGGCCGGCAGCAGACACTGAATGTCCAACAAACACCCACATAATTCTGCTGTGACTTGTTTGCAACAATTTGAGCCACAAAAATCTAGAGGACAACTCAGAGCAGGACCCCAAAAATTTACATAAAAAGACACCATTCTGCAGAAGTTCAGGAAGGCAGTTAAATGGCTCAACAGAGAGATGACAGGGAGAATACATGGGAGAGCATTCCACAGCTGGTGTGAAATTCTTTACATACTCTGCGTGGTCTCCTGAAACTGATTACTCCATGGCTCTGTTACTTTACGCCTTAGTAACCTTCTTTTAGAGGATTTATCTGATCAACAAGGGGAGAAGCCGTTCTATACAGGAAGGGATGAAAACAGCAAACAATCTAAAGACAAGATAACTACTAGCGAATTTGGGATCTACCCTCAAATATTTGAACATCTGTCAATGAAAGAAGGCTGGAAAGTAGGAATTACACTGCTTTGTCAGTTTAAGAGAAGTACTTGGAAACAAACTGTATTATCCAGGGAATAGAACTCAGTTGCTGAATAAGGGACGGAACTTAGTCGTGGGTGCTGTGGATGGGTGCGGGCTTTGGCCAAAGCTAGCCTCCAGTGTACTTTAATTCCCTTTTAATTATAACATCCCAGGAGTCTGTGCCCCTTTACAGGACAAACACAAGTTAAGGGACACTGAGAGGGAACTGAGGTTCTCTGGGGTGGCTACTGCTGAGTGAGGCACATGAGGAATGAGTGGCTGGACTAGATTACTGGGTCCGAAATGTCTAAAGTTTATAAATCATACATACTTTTAAAAATTATTAATAAAGTGGCCAACTTTTTTTTTTTTTTTTTTTGCTGTGTAAGGACTTGAATGCATACATGCTCATGCAAAGAGTAATCTGTCTGTTAATGCCTAATTTCATAAATTAGGAACAGTTTTTATTTTATTTTATTTTTTTGGAGACAGAGTCTCACTCTGTCACCCAGGCTGGAGTACACTGGCGCGATCTTGGCTCACTGCAAACTCTGCCTCCTGGGTTCAAGCAATTCTCCTGCCTCAGCCTCCCAAGTAGCTGGGATTGCAGGTGCCCACCACCATGCCCCGCTAATTTTTTTGTATTTTTAGTAGAGATGGGGTTTCACCATGTTGGCCAGGCTGGTTTCGAACACCTGACCTCAAGTGATCTGTCCTCCTTGGCCTCCCAAAGTGCTGGGATTACAGGTGTGAACCACTGCGCCCAGCCAGGAAGAGTTTAATACCTTTCTCTATCCCACTCCCCAACGAATAAAAAACCATAATCATAAATTTAAGTCTTTTCAGTCAGCAGTCCCCAACCTTTTTGGCACCAGGGACCAGTTTCATGGAAGAAAGTTTTTCCACAGACGGGTTGGGGGGTGGTTTGGGGGTGATTCAAGTGCATTACCTTTATTACATACTTTATTGCTAGTGTTATTACACTGTGTAATATATAAGGAAATAATTACAGAACTCACCATAATGTAGAATCAGTGGGAGTAACAGTCTATGGCCTCAGGGTTGGGGACCCCAGCTTTAAGAGGAATTTTGCCTAATGTAAACTATTGACTTGTACTTACTTTTCTTATTTCTTGTACATTTGAGAGCCACAGGGAAAACTGACCTCAAACTATTTCATATAATACTGATTCTTTGACTTGTCCAATGGTGATTTCATGTTTAAAAAAAAAAAAAAATTGATGCATTCTGCAGAATGCAAAGGGTCTCTTTGGTTAAAACAACAGCAACAAAAACAGTGGCTCTGCGCTTCCCAGTTTGGATTCGATGCAAATCCTCACGGACTCCCTGTTTCACTCTGGCGCATAAACTTGCCTCCATTATTCTTCGCTTGAACAAGCTGGAGCTTGCCCGCTGTTTGAAATCTACACAGTTGGGGCTGAAAATGTCCTCCTGATGTATTATTTCTTAAAAACTGGAAAGAAGGTGCCAGCGGTGCAGAACTAGTATGAGTGAACAGGCATTTAAATTTCACATTTTATTTATAGGTGAAATTTGAATGACGATTTCAATCATTAATCTACAGATTTTCTTTTCCTGTTTTGACAAATATAAACCACGATTTTTAAAAAATTCGAACAAGCACATTTTACGCTGGGTGTTAATTTGGGCTGGTACTATCATGCCAAAGACAATATTCAGCGAATAATTTGGCTCATTTACAAGGAAAAATGAGGTGACTTGGTCATCTGAAATTCTTAAAGTGTCAGTAACAGTAAAATATATCATATCCTTTTTATATAGTTCTAAGGAACTATTTATCTTTATATAACACCCATATTCATTAGGATTATTGTTAATACTTGCCAGGAATAACCTGTGTCTTCACTACCAAAATGAACATATTGTTATGAATATCAACTAATAAGAGGTGTTGAAACACTTTGTAATAAAAAAGTCTACTTTCTTAATCGTTACAATGGTAAATCAAAATATTTATTGCCTAGTACACAGCAACAAGTTATCAAAATGGAGGTACACACTCAATTCTCTATGCGGAGATCTCATTTTAATCAGCGCCATCAACCTTATTCTTTGCTGCACAAGATACTCGTGCTGGTGCGTATGTGGGAGTATGTGTAAACTGCTTACTTCATTTTAGATAAAGTACAAGCTCATGTAAATATATGGTTTTCAGTAATGCCTTACTGAGGCTACCTGAAAATCTCGAGTTCATAGATGCCTAGATAATCGCCTTACAGTGTCGGTATACGCAACTTCTACAATTGTGGGGCAAAACTAGCCAAGGTGCACGCAGGCAGTGAGGCAGAAGTCTAACAAGCACGTAAACTCATCTTTGACCACAGCGGCCAAAGGCGGCTCTCTCCTGGTGGCTCCCTATCTGTTCTCTTCTTCCGCAGTCACCTCACAACAGCGGACCCCAGAGTCATGATTTGATTCTAGATCTTGAGCAGGAGCCATGTGTAATGCACCACTTCACTCAATTACCTTTGCAAAGGTAGCAGGGATAACTAATTTGAGTTGTAAAAGCTACTACCATTTCTGAAAATCAGTCATGCTGCATTATAAACAGATTTTTCAAGATCCACCTAGAAAATCAAGCTTTTCCAAGGACCAAATTCTATGTCAAATTGAAAAACTATACACTGGTTAGTGTTTACAACGAAAAAAATTAACATTTTAGACTTCTTATTAAAAATTCAAGCAAACTAAGAAAAAAAAAAAAAAAACCCTGCTTACTGGCACTGTATCAGTCTAAGGTGGAACAGCCACACCCTGACAAGGTGAGCTCATCCTGCAATTCAAGAAAAATAAAAACGGCATTTTGCATGTTTCACAAGAGGGCTGCGGTCACAGCCAGGGCCTTGCAGGTCAAATCATGTCCCAGCAGTCAATGATCACGGGTTCTACCAATATCCCCCCGTCGAAGGCACACTAACCTTACTTCATAGGTGGAGGATGTGTATACTTTGGGTCTGCATTAGTCTTTGGAGTAGGGTATAATTATCAAAGTCTGTTTAAAGACACACACGCAGACCTGTTAGGTCCCCTACAACAGACTGAGTTCAGCTGCATTTTAACTAGAAGATAGAGGTATATTATTTCAAAAAAATTAATTCCCTTTAAAAACCTAAAAGACTGAAAATGATACAAACTGGGCTGGCACAGTGTTTTGTCAAGTTTTCAGAGAAGAAAACACACAAACGGCAAGGAAAGCTGGAATTTTCTTTAGTGTTTACATTTTATTACCTGGGTAATGGGGACCATGCTTCCTCTTGTGGGGAAGTTCATCATGAGAACTTCCAAAGGATTACACAAAAGAAAGGGCACCAAGCTGCTAATATGGTCCCCCGGAAACACAAATAAACAGGATTGGATTGGAAGCCCTGGGCCACTTCAAAGAAAGAATCAAGTGAATGGTAATACTAAGAAATGAAAAAAGGCAGGGTAGCTTGCTTTCTCCGTTTAAAGCTATTAAACCCAGTAGGTAAAGCCCGTTTGGCTCTAAGATTGTATTAGACTCACACGGCCCCCGTCTCCACCCACACACACATTGCTAATCACAGTAGACCCAGCCGCGATTCCCAGCTGTGATTCCCTTCCACCCCTAGACGAGGGGAGGGGGCTTCCCACTGTGAAAGAAAATGCCTTCTCGGACTGGAGCCACTCCCCAGTCCAGACTTTCAGCAAGTTAAGCAGGGACGCTTCCTCGATGCTGGGAAAATGGCACGCAGTACTTCATCTGCCGGGTACGTTAAATGTGTCAACTCTGCTTCACTTCGCGGGTGCAGGGAATGTGTTTGCTGTTCAGATTTCAAATCAGATTAAAATAATTAAGTTTTCTAAACAGCAATCCCATGCTTAAACCAAAGGACACTCCCTAGAGCAAGAACTAACAAGAACTAGTCTGACCGGTAAAAAGACTGAGGTGTCTACTGAAATCGTTAACTGCTAAAACTCAGGCTTTTTTAGATGGGAAACTTTCTTTCAGCTATGTCAAGTTAACCCAATCCATTGATATTCGGGAAGGCACGTTATTTCAATATTTATATTTTGATCATAAGAAGAAACAGGAGGAAGAGAAATGGGAAGAAATTTCAGGTCTCCAAGAAACTTTGCTCATTATATGTACTCATCTAAACCTGCAAAGGCTGAAATACTCTTTCGTACTTAACCGACAAATCCCAGGGAAAAAACTACACAGTTTGAACCAGGGCACTTTTTTTTTTTCTTTTTCTGAGCTTGGTGTTGGCCACCCAAAGCTACTGCTGGTGCATTTGGTTCAAGTCAGATGCAAGAACCCGAGCTCGCCCTACACAGGCATTCTGAAAAGCACAGGCTCCCCTGACCCGGTGAGGGCCCGTCACGCGCGACGGCTTCGGCAGGCCGCGCAGCCCCGAGGGCTTCCTGGAGGCGGCGGCGGCGGCCGCGGGCGGGCACTCACCGTACTCCATGAGGCTCTCGCAGCCGTCCTCGTAGGACCCGCTGCCGCCGCCCTCGTGGAAACATCTCCACCACAGCGAGGACGTCTGGATGTGGTCGCTCGACTGCAGCCAGCCGCGGCCTGCCAGCGCGATGATGTCGAAGGCGATGGCGCTGAGCAGGAGCAGGGGCAGGATCCAGCGGCAGCGCTCGCAGGCCAGGCCGCAGCGGATCATGGTGACGGGCGGCGCGGGGCCGAGCGGGGCCAAGCGGAGCGCAGCGGGGCGGAGGAGCGCGCGGGGCGTGCGGCGGCGGAGAGTGGCCCGCGAGCGCGGGCGCCGCCACAAAAGGGAACAGGCCGCAGGGAGGCGGCTCCCGAGGACGCCGCTCCGGGCGGCCCCACCTCGATTCCGGTGACTCAGAGCGCGCCCGCCCCGACCTGCCCGGCCCGGCCAGGGCGGGCGGGGCCGCTGGTAAACAGGCGGGGCTCGGGCGACCCTGGGCGGCGGCGGAAGGCGGCCCGAGGGCCCCGCGGGTCCCCCGAGCCTCCCGTCCCGCCCGCCTGGTCCTCTCCAGGCGCGTGCGTGTCTTCCTGGCGCACCAACACACACACACACACACACACACACACACACACACCACACCTGTGTATCAGCACAGTGCCAGCCAACTATCTGACCCCGGTGTCGCCTCGTGGCGCGGTGGTCAGCAATGCCATGTTTGAGGGGTGTTCTGATTGCTTGTGTGGATAAAGGCTGCACTCCTTTGCTCGCGTGCACCCCAACCCAGAAGCCCGTCCCTGACCCCTGCTGACACAGGTGATCCCTTCCTCCCAGGCTCCGCCTTTGCACTTTGGACCGTGACTCCCCGGGTGCTCATCTCTTTGCAGCCCCGTCTTTCCTGCAGGGTTGCCAGCTTTTGGAAGGCGGAGGCGCTGCTGCATGTATCTGTGTGTCCCTGGTGTACAGCACCGTGTCTGGATCCCAGGGGGAGCTCAGTGAATTTGATGAATGAACATGTAATGTAACAAATGCTCTCTTTTCCGAAACGCTTCATTTGGCTTCCGCAGATAATTTTATGTCGCCTCTGCTGCAATCCACTTCCTATTACGAATCTCTAATCTATTTAAACTTTACTTTCTCTACTCTTCATTTACTATTTTGAGGTTTTTCCAAATAAAAATCACACATCAGTGTGCAACCTGCATCTAGAATTCTCCTCCCCCTGTCCGGGGTTGTCCTGGGCTAGCTCCAGCCAGAGTCCTGACTCCTCAGGTGTGGCAGGGAGGGTGGGGCGGCAGCCAGGTGTGCCGCTGAAGACAAAGGAGTTCTGTGTCAGGCTCAGTGTGAAGACCATTGAGAGTCCTTAATAATAGCCTGACTTGGAACCCATAGCCATGTCAGGGATCTCGGTGGCCTTGAGCAAATCACTGAAACATCTCATGGGGGCTATGTCTTAACCCTGTGCCTGCAAAGATTTCTTCTGAATCCCTTACATTTTCTGTTAATTTAATATAAAAGCAGTGGGAGCTACTGAAAAATATAGAACATTGTATTCCAATTTGGTATGCTCAATAGAAACAGAATACCATTTGACTTATGCTATTTTCTGGCAATTTTTGAGGACAGATAAAACAAAGGAATGGAGAAAGTATCTGAAAATACATGAAATAGTTTCCCTGGCCTTTATTTTACATAATTCAAGTTTTACATTAATCACATCATATATTTTTATTACAGGCTAATATTTTCACTTTCAATGAACACAAGAAGGTGTTCTGCCAAAAGTTAACTTTAGAGCATGTAAGTTCTGTGAAGAAAATTGTGATTTTATGTTCTCAGGGTTTTCAAAAGTAATGAAGATATTCGTTTAATTAGCTATGTATATTTGTGAGAAAAAATTTTCTTACAAGTCAAACAGCGATCAGAAGCAAAGTGGCTTCAGACAAAATGAGAGTTTCGAAGGCGTATTATTATCTCGGAATAATATTGGACTTGATCTAACTTCTTTTTGTTATTCATTGAAACCATTTCCGATGGACATCAGGAAAAGAGCTCACGAATGCTGAGGTGAATACAAGGAGATTAGCTCTTCACAGTTTCTGGAAGAGACCACATTGACCCTGGTGGGGTCCCAACAATAATATACCCAATATGTGGTACAGAAATGTGGAACCAGATGGTTCAGGTGTACGCGCTTTCTCATATTCACGGTGTGACATAGGGCAGATGACTTCAGTTTTTGATGCCTCCGTTTCCTCATCTGTAAGACAGACAGTACTAACCTCAGTGTTATATAAATGAGTGTTAAAAGAGCAAATACATCTGAAGTGCTCAAGGTAGTACCTGCATATAGCAAGGGTTGATGATGATGATTTTTCACGTAGGTTTTCCACTTTAGAAGATCGAAAGAGTGGAATGTCCATGTTTCTAAAGGGCAAATTCTATAGGTGAATGCCAGCTGTAAGTGACTAAGTTATTTTAGACAATGCAATCGTTCATCCTCGCCATATTCATAAAATGATGGCTCATAGAGAACAGTAGGCAGCTGGATAGTTCCCCCTGCTGGATAATTTAGGGATTGCGCCTGAGCACTGAGCACTTGACAAAAATGTAAATTATACCTAAAGTTTTTTTTTAATTGAGGCTTGACTGACATACAAAAAATGTATATATTTAATATATACATCTTGATGAATTTGAAGATAAGTACATACCCATGAAACTATCACCATGAAAAAGGTTTTATTTTTATAATTTGGGGTTATGGTTATAAAATCAATGACTGTTACAAACAAAAATACATAAATATATAATTTTAAGTATAAAAATTGGTAGAAAGTAATAATAATAACCGCTAACAAACATCTGCTGGGAGTTTACCGTGTGCCAGTGAGTGTTTCACATCCACCTTATGGGGTATGCACCAGCATCTCCTTCATTTAGACGCGGGATTGAGACCCAAAGAAGTGAAGTAACTTGCTCAAGACCACGCAGTCACAAGCGGCAAAGCCAGACTTCCACCTAGGAGCTTGACACCAGAGATAGTGCTGCTAACCACAATACGCACGTGTACGAGTTCATACATTTCTTCAAATGTCTCCTTCTTTCTTCCCTTCTTCTTGTCCTTGTAAACACCCAAGCTCCTCCTAGTTATATCCCAAGCTGTAGTGACACGATCCCCGTGTTACCGTTCTGGGCATGTGTGTAGGACCGTTGGGTCTTTGACGTGTTTCTTCTGTAGCTGTCCAGTTGAGTCTTTGGATGAAGTGCCCTCCAGTGGTTATGGAGGGATTGAATCTCCTCCAGACGTCGCAAATACTCCCACTGTCAACCATTTGCAAAGATGCAGGGCCTTATTTTTCACATTTAGCATTAATGAGATCACGTGATAGCTGTGGACAATTGAGAGTCCTTAATAATAGCATAGCCTGAGTTAGAACCAATAGCCATGATCCCGAAAATCAAGAATGTCCTCTGTAAATTAACAGTGACTGTGAAGACACAGTAGACGTTGACCCAGGATTCTTCTACCTCACCCCCGTCAGTCCTGCTCCTCTGACCTGTTCACAGGAGCTGACCCCTTGATCTCAGCAAAACATTACTTCCATAGGAAGCTCCCAACTAGATTAAATTCCTGTTACATATCCTCAAAGCCCTGTGTGTCTTTCCTTCAAACCTTTTCTCACAATTTTCATTATAAATTTATTCTGAATAGTTTTAATCCACTCCCACCACAATTCAATGCTGGCAAAAGTGTTATCTGTTACCTCTCACCACTGTGTGCACAGCACCCAGTGCCTGGATCATAATAAAATCCCAAGAAACACTTGTCAAATGATCATGAGAATCTGCCTAGTCTCAAAATAACTCAGAGGGTCTCTGAGCACTCTTCCTTTTAGAAGGTCTTGTTAAAATTGTCATCTGTATTCTATCTCCGCATAATATCCTGTAATTCTTTCCCCTTGGTATCATTGACAGATAATAAGTCCTCTCACATTAAGTGGAGACTTGTCTTTCTTCCATTCCTCCATCGCTCATCTCGGGCGTGTCTTCTCTCTGGCTGGCTGAACATCTGTTATTTTTAACTTTTTCGGTTTCTTTGTCAATGTCTTGACCCTTCTCTGAACAACCTAGATTTTCTTTTCACTCATAATATGTGGTGCCCAGAATTAAACCTAGCACTCCGGGTGTGATTTCAGCAGTGGTGACAAGAGAGAGCTTTTGTCTCCCTCAAAGCAGACATGACACCTCTAGTAATAGAGTCCAGATATGCACCTTTTGTGTTGGTCTACGCAGATATCCATCATAGTAAACTTGTGCTCAACTAGAACCTGGAAGATGCGATTACTTGTGCAGTTTGCACTGTAAATTGTGCTTTTCTTATGAGATGATTGTTTTTATCCCTGTCATATGTCATCATTAGAATGACCATGATGCTGGCCTGCCAGCATCTTTACCAGTCTTTGTTCTTTAAGGACAATGCATTTGCTCCTTATTGTGGCTTCTCGTTTTTTGGATCTGTCTTCCATATATAGAGTCGTACAAGCTACTGATAACCATTGTATTGGAAAAAGGATGAGGACATCATGGTTCATTACTTGACAATTCATTCCAGACAGACAACTCTCTCTGTTGGACAACACTCCTATCTAGGGACATAGAGTAAACACCTGTGAAGCCAGAGTGAGCCACAGAAGGCTTCTCTAAGGAGGTGCGACTTTAGTCTTGCAAAAGACAGAGAGGAGGGGGATGACTTTCCAGATTAAGTGGCCACCTGGGTGAAGGCACAGGCTTGGGAATGGCTGTTAAGTATTTTAAAGGTGTTTTATTTATTTATTTTTTCAGATAATGACTTTCCAGTGAACATAAACAGCCCATAATTTAGCGTCCTAAATTATGGAGACTTTTAGAAATACAAATCTAAGGAGGGTAGTACCTTTAGCCAAATTGCAAACTGCTGGCAAATCAATTCAGTGCTCTGTAATACAATATATAATCATGTTTTTGTTACCATCATATATCAATTCAGTGATAATTTTCTTGCTTTTTTTTTTGTGTGAGATGGAGCCTCATTCTTTGGCCCAGGCTGGAGTGTCATGGCATGATATCGGCTCACTGCAACCTCTGCCGCCCGGGTTCAAGCAATTCTCCTGCCTCAGCCTCCAGAGTAGCTGGGATTACAGGTACCTGCTACCATACCTGGCTACTTTTTGTTTTTTAGTAAAGACGAGGTTTTGCCATGTTGATCAGGCTGGTCTCGAACTCCTGACCTTGCGATCCGCCTGCCTCAGTCTCCCAAAGTACTGGCATTACAGGCGCGAGCCACAGCACCCAGCCCAGTGGTAACTTTCAATGCAAAAATATCATTGGAGTACCAAATAAAAGTATCACATTTTTTATGGCAGAGCCAATTATTT